TTTTGTGCTACTGTATAAGGGTTTCTTTTTATTCTACTTATAAATCCTTTTCAGCACTTTAACAAAAGTTGTTTGTATTATAATTTCGTGCATTTTCTATTAATCAACTACTAGTCTATCTCTAATATTTGCAAAGTTAGATTTTCTTGTAGACATAAAAAAAAGTGATTAAAATATTGTTATTGCCAATTTTCTAATAGGATGTTCTGTAATTATATCCTAATAATGTCCTTATATGTAAATCATGTTCTTAGACCATTTTGGTGCATCACAGTGTTCATCTCCTGTGTTTGCCCTGGTGACTTTGCTTCAGACTTGAACTTTTTGGTGAGGTAAAAGTGAACATAGTGATTATATGCTGCAATGTTAAGTGACATGGAATCTCACTGCCAACATATTTTCATCACATGGAAGCTTGCTATGTAACATAGCATGTCTTCATGCAATACTATCACTGCCAACATATTTTCATCACATGGAAGCTTGCTATGTAACATAGCATGGCTTCATGCAATACTATGGACCATTTTTCAAGGTCCCTACCTTGGAAAATAGACCTATTGCATTGCATCTTGGCCTGCTATGTGACATAGCATGCCTCTATGCGATGCAATTTTCTTGGCAGTGTCTGTATGCTTCAAGTTGACATTCATATAGTTGTAGGCCCCGCTTGCAAGCAGCTCACGAAAAGATTTAAGAGCCACAATGCAGCATGCAGAGTTATAAAGAGTATCCAGTGCAGCATTGAGATCTGGTGCCCATATTTGCAGTCCAACCTTGGCCAACAAACCATGAACATAGAGGATATAAGTCTCATCTAAATTTGCCAAACCTTTGGCAATCTTTGTACAGCCGCCAGAACGATTAAGTTGCAAAACAAGGATTTCCTCTTGAGCTACTAAACCACATGCCAAAGGATCATTTACAACTTGATTGACCTCGGCTACTCTTGAAAATCAGCTGTAAAACTCTTTGAGGAGATTCTCATTGGGCAGAGCAAGTACATCGTTTGGAAGATATAACCCAGCCATCATTTTTACATGAATGAAGAGTGCTTCCTGGAGAAAATGACAAGATGTGTAAGTTGGCTCAATGTTTCAACTACTCAGAGTCATACAAAAAA